ATAAAAGAACGTTTCTATTGACTGTAAAATGCTGTTTCTTATCTGATTGTGTTTTAAACGATTAATATTAAGATTGTAAAGTGATGCATGTTTAATTTTACTTAATTTTTTGTATATTCTAACCATAAGTTAATTTGTAAATAAGTTTTCATATACCTAAATTGGTGAAATATGTGAATCATTATTATTTTTATAAGAACATCTTTGTACCATACTTCTTGTGAATAAATTTATTATTTATTATTTATTTATTTACTTATTTAATGACACCCCCTTCTTCTTTCCTTCCCTTCCAACACCGTATAGCCGTTGCAGAAGTAACTTTCTGTTAATATTTCTGTATAAAAAAGTGAGGTTATCATTTTACAAAAAAATTATTACTCATAAACTATACATTTCTGCAAAGGGGGAAGGGTGGGGGCTTCCCATGAGCCCCCTCCGCTCCCCCTCCCAACACCGTACACGAGTACCAGACGTCTATAATTTACGCTTATTAACATTTAAGTTATTTATCAACGACCATTCATTTTGTCAATATTAAAAAAACAGTTTATAGAAAAAAAATAGATTTAATCTAGATCACTCCCCACATTGTTCACTATCGGCTCGTCAAGTTTCGTTATAATCAATTCAGCCAACCCACAGATTAGCCTGGACAGACAGGCGGACAAACATTTTAAAAAAATCATATATGTCTTAGTGGCACTCAAATAAACCACTCATTTCACTTAAGATAGTTATTTCAATATTGAAAGCAGAAACGTTAATACTAATTAAGTATACGGAATGGAAATAATACTACCATTATATTATGTTCATATCACATAATACTACGGGAATCATATAATTATATTATACTTGAAGTATGATGGATATTGCCGTGAATTAAATGGAAAATTATTACACATATTCTAAGAATTTATTATTCCAACGCACTTCAGACCATCACTCCGCTACTGAGGAGCTTCCATAACACGTTCTCTGCAGAACGAGGACTAGACAGCTCTTGGCATAATTAATTATAGCACAGACGTCCGAGAGCGCTTGGATTAGTGTGACAAGCGGTTGTTGTGAACGAGCTCGGAATATTTCATGCAGTTTCAACTGTTCTTTGTTCGGAGTTTTTTTAAACGCTGTTCAGAATTTTTTTTAAAGTAACTTTTTAATTTCTTCCAACCCATGTAACTAAAAAAAAGATTAGGACGATGTTTCAAAACAAGGACCGAAAAACAAAGTTAAGGAAATCCTACATTATAGTACTAGTACTACTGCTGCTATTAGTTGTATTAGTAGTAGTACTACTAAAACTGTTAGTGGAGCTACTACTATTAACTACTATAAGATAGGTTTTTTTGTTTAGGTTCCACCCTCTTACATATTTTTTGTCGTTATAAAGTGCGTGCAATACTGTGTTCCGGTCATGATGTAAGGCGTTCCATCTTAGTCCTTAGAGGTGACAATGTACCTGTAGCCTTCTTTATTCGAATTGGTTTGGTTTCCATTGGCTCGATAACCACTTAGCATTAGGTAAAGTGGAATGTAAGTTCCTCTTCCTCTCGTTTCTTAGAGGGTTTTAGGGTAGGTAAATGTCCGCAATAATAAAAATAGAATAAATAGAATATAATATAGAAACACAGCAGTGCAAACATCACTATCGTCGACAGTTGAGAATACCTACAGACGGACTCCCAGATAGAAAAGGAATCCAAACACATAGTAGTCCTTCGTAGCCTTCTTAAAAATTTAATTGTCAAAAAAATAATATAATTAATAGATTAACATTTAATAATCAATATATTGGAAAATAAAACTCTTCTGTAGCACGGACATCACGTTTTCAATTTAATATAATCTGGAGACAAACAAACTGGACTTCTTCTGACATTAAGTGACAACCAGGAATATCTAACAACTGTTTAACAAATAGAAATAGATAGTTTTTTTTTATTAAATAGAGAACGTGTTGAATGTCACTCTTACGTTTATTTTACCACTACGGTGGTATGGTATGGTAGGTACGCGGAGGGTGTGCGTATGTCCACGCTTGCCGCGTCTCACCTTCAAATACTCTAGAGCTCGCAAGCTATACTATATTGCGTGTTAATTGGCGAGATCAGGAGTCCAATTTCCTATCTGAAAATGTAGAAAAACACGCACCCAAATCCTATACCTTTAAACGAGCAATTCTTTATATATATATAATCGGAATCTCGGAAACGGCTCCAACGATCTTCATAAAATGTTGTGTCCAGGGAGTTTCGGGGGCAATAAATCGATCTAGCTAGGATTTATTTTTAGAAAATGTCTTTTTTCCGTCAAAACTCAATAAATAATGTTAATTATCAAATATCATCCAACCTCTCTTGGTCCGACTTTTTTTTCCTTTTTTTTTTTCAAGTTCCCTTCTTTTGTGAGAAAATCTATTATTTCGAGCCCTTTTTTTAGTATTTTCGAAAATTCAAATTAAAGTAATTGCATAATTTTTTTAATTAAAGTCATCCAGGTACTGGGGATTTATAAGAAACCGATATAGGGTTAGGTAAGTAGTTTTGACACGTAGGTATTATTTTCCATGAATTTGTCAAAATTTGCCTTATTTTTATTTCTAGTTGGTCAAAACCATAGTCCGTAACACAAATAATTATCTACACTGCTTTTTTGTAGAATAAAAGTATTGTATGTTAAACAAATGGTATATTACGTTACCAATTAAATTTTGTAGTATGTCACAATCAATTATTTACGTGACTTGAATAGATATGTTCGTTAGTCTATGTTTAACTTACGATTGATTACGTCGATAAAATATGTATTCACTGCTATTTTAATATTTTACGTAGGCATGCAAAATACAATTATATCTTATTTTAAAGCGTGCTGGAATCTAGAAGATCATCATAGACATTTGGTGTACTCAAGAGAAGAAAAGAGATACTCAGTCTTGACGAAAATATACATTGTCACATTTATTCTATAAAATAAAGAGAAAACCTAAACTTATAAGGTCTTTTTGGTTGTGTTTGTATTTAATAGTTTGGTCCTAATAATTATTAAAGTGATCCTGTAACAACTAAAATAAAATTGCCAACCCTCCTAACAAGCGTGGAAAATAAGGTACATGTTTCCTAGGAAAACAAACTTTTAAACGAGCACAACGGCTCCAACGATTTTCATAAAATTTTGTGTCCAGGGGGTTTCGGGGGCAATAAATTGATCTAGCTAGGATTCATTTTTAGAAAAACTCGTTTTATCCGTGATTTAAAGCAATGAACATTGCTACAATAGCATTAGAATAAGAAGAAAATTTTGGCAACGCGTTAATGATTATAATAGTTCTAATAGAATATTGGGTGGTCTCGAATTCATAGTACCCTGGTTCAAGCTGTCTTCGATCCGACTTTTTATCCTTTTTTTCTTCAATTTCCCTTCTTTTGTGAGAAAAACTATTATTACGACACCTTTTTAATATTGTTTTTAAAAACACGAAAATTAAAATTAAACTAATTGCACTCATGATTTTTTTATTCAAATAACTAGTTCAGATTTTTTCAATTATGTCGGTAAGATCAAAAAATATTATTCATATTTCATCAGTATGTAATTTGTATCTAAATATAATTTCCAAAACACACGATTTCCAAAAAGATAAAATTCCGAGCAAAGCTCGGTCATCCAGATACTATTATATATAAACGAGCAATAAAATCCACACAGAAATCAAACGTAAAATTTAAACTTCTCATATTTTGAATTAAACTAGAGCTCAAGGTTCTAAACTCTCCACATAGTGAAGTTACAAAATAAAATTGGTTTTCTATGATATTTTACTGTATTTAATCTTGCCGAAAAATAGTCACTTGCTTTATGAAGCTCTAGGCAAAAGATGTTTTAAAGAGGTGACCAAAAGAGTAGAAACCAAGATTAGGTTTTGATCCGATAATTGTGCGGGGCTAAATTAGAACCGGAAAATGCTCGTTACGTATATCATATTAGCGCACAAAAACAATGTCGCTATGAAACATACATTTTTAGAAAATGACTATACCAAGCGAAGGGTAAAGCGTTCAAATATACAATTACCTCGCTTATGTGACGGAGTGACGCGGACGCGTCGGTGCAGTGACCAGCTGTTGCTTATAATTTAGTGAATAAAATTGCTAACGCAGTATTTCAAGCTTAAAGTTTATTTATTTGGAAGTTAACATAACACTACATATGCAGTAAATTGGTGCAGTTAATAAACTAGTGAACAAAATAACAAGTGAATGAACACTATTGATTTTGTTTGTTATTTGCTAGTTATGTTCACTCGTACAATGTGATTTGTGATTTGACTTACCTACATATTTTTGCTGCACACATCTCCGTACTTGTTACATACCAATAGTATATACCAGTGCCATTAGTGGATGAGTGGAGTATATAAGATACATAAACAGCTTGAACTGTACTTCTTAAATATGGTTAAATGTGGAGCTTGTAGTAAATTCCTTTCTACGGCAGAGGCCGTTAAATGCGGACAATGTCCAGTATATATATATATATCATCGAGCTTGTGTTGGAGTCTCTGACCGCTCTAAGATTCATGAACGCTGGCAATGTCCAGAGTGTAAAAAGACTGTGCCAAAGGGAAACAACTCTTCTACCCGAGGGGCATGTTACCAGAGTGAATTTTAAATCCTGCAATCTCCGGAACAAGCAGTGACTCAGAAAAAACTGCAACTAGCTCGCCTGAGTCTTTTCATCGGGAACTATCCAGAAGTTCGACTTTTCAGGGAGAAAATATGTCGGGTCAGAGAGGAGCTAAAAGAATTTCGGAGGGATATGGTTGAACTACTGGAATCTTTAGTGATGATTAATAAGAGAATAGATGAAATGGAGAGCAGGATTAGTATTCCAGAACAGAAGACTCAAAGCAACAGTAACAGATCAGTCGAAACAAAGAGCCCGAACTAACCGTGTCCCGATTTACGCGTGAGCTTAATGATCGGGAGCAGGAGTTGCTTGCAGCCGATCTTGAAATCAGAAATATTCCGGAAGAGAGGACAGAAAACATCACTCATACGGTCGTGTTGGTGGCTGCAAAGCTGGGAGTATCGCTGGACGAGAGAGACATTGTTTTCGCGGATCGTGTAAAAACAAGGAAGCAGGGTGACAATGCAGATGGAGATCGGGGCCATGGGCCTCGAGTGGTGGTGCACCACTCGTGCGAAGCGCACGCGAGATGCACACCATGTCCTATATCGCTTCGCTATTTTACCGAGTACGAGAGGCAACAAGGCGGCTACGGTGGAGATATACATGGACCAGATATGGTAGAATCTATACTCGCCAGGGAGATGGGAAGAATACTTATTGTATCCGATCTGAGGCAGATCTGATCCGTGTTTTTGGTAACGATGCAGTTAGGCCACTTTCAAATTAATTTTATAACATTACTCTTTTTTATATTGTTTATAATTGTACACACATGCATATAAAAATCATGAATGTACCTCTTGTTGTAAGATTTATACTTTATTTAGTATTGTTCTTCTGTAGGTAACTTTTAAACGGTGTGTAAACCTCTTGATTTGAGATACTTGTGTTCACTATAGAATTTATATTTTATTTATCATCGGTCAATAGGTAAATTAGATTTTATGTATTGTAGCGCGCCTAAGTGTAACAACAACCCTGTAATTCAATCGGTAGTTTTTATTGTCATGAATCTCAAGCTCGTAACAGTATATTATGCATAAGCTAAAAAAAATGTTCGTTTGTTAATATTGTAAAAAATAAATTAAATAGTGTTAAAAATATATGTTATTAAAATATTATGTTATTAATATATTATATTATATTACATGTTTTTATCGTCCATTTATATATTATGATTTAAATCTATGGGGAAAATAAAGAAATAAGAAATTAAAAATTATTTATATAATATAACTCATCAAAACTCAAAAACAAATTACTCAAAATTGGTTTGTTTAATGCTGGGTCACTGGGTACACTCCATGACGAATTTAAAGCTGTTTTAGAGGATTTACAGGTTGACAAACATGGTTGAAGACGGGTGAGGAGGGCTGCGCGCCCGTTGTGCCCGGATACCGGCTGCGGCACGAGCCGCGGCCGGCTGCCGTGTGCGGCGGCCGTGGAGGTTGCGTTGGCTTTAACATATGCACGGGGATCGCAGTGCGTCCTTGCCCACATCCTTCTTCCACTGATTTTGAGCAAATATGACTCTCTTTCACGATAAACACACAGAAAATTATGACTGGCACAGCTTATCGTCCATCTTGGCTCGATGTAAATATTTTTCTAGATACCCTCACTTCATCTATTGTTTCATTCACAAGAGCTGATAAAATGATTCTGCTAGGTGATTTCAATATAAATTTGCAAAAAGAAAAGATGACCCCAAAACTAAACTTCTTCTTATTTTTCTCAATTATACTCATCTTACAAGTTATGTCTGAGCCTACACATTATAAAGATCACAGTGAAACACTCATTGATTTGGTATGCTCTGACATTAATGTCTCTAACACAACAGTTTCATATATACCACAATTAGGACAACACGCAGTGATATCCGTTCAATTTATAATAGAAAAAGATAAGTTTATTACACGTAAGGCTTACATTTGTCCACTTAAGCAGATTTTGGTAGACTATTTTAATGCAGATTTAAACAGTATTGATTGGGATAGTATTTTATATCTCAACAATGTTAATGATATGGTAGCAAAATTTAATTCATATATAATAACGTTTTTTGACCTTCATGCCCCAAACAAATTAGTGCGAAAACAAACTCACTCATGGATTACTGATACAGTTAAAATCTAGATGAGGCATCGAAACCACTATTTCATGCGGTATAAGAAAACTAAACTAGATAAATATTATGATTCCTATTAAGATCTAAAAAACCTTGTAACTAATGCTATTAATGTTGAAAAGAGAGCATATTTGAAACGTAATATACGTTTAAAATATGATCTCTAATAAAAACTTAAATAACCCTAAAGCTCTATGGAAAAGTATAAAAGGTAATATTATTACTAAGGAACAGGCTGAGATAAATTTGCCAGATCATTGTAATGATCCTGATATAATAAATAAACATTTAATGAATATTCCTGGTGATAATAATATAGACCTTTCAAAACTTACTTTCTATGAGTTTAACAAATATGGCCCAGGTATTTTCCATTTAAATATAACAGCTAAAATAATTCAGAGTTTGAAATCAAACGCCCAAGGTGTGCATCAGATAACACTTGATATGTTACTTATGACACTGCCACATACATTGAAAGTTATCACAGCTATTGTGAATAAATCTATTACCACCTCTACCTTCCCTGATCGATGGAAAATAGCTGTGGTAAAGCCTATCCCGATGAAAAAACAGGCAACCTGTTTAAAAGTTCTACGCCCCATAAGCATCTTGCCTTGTTTATCTAAGGTATTAGAAAAAGTGGTCTGCGTCCAGTTAACCGAATACTTAGAGGTACACAAAATCTTAGCTTTAGCACAGTCAGATTTTCGTAAACACCATAGCACCACAATAGCGATTATTGATGTTGTTGATAATATACTAACAGCTCAGGATACGGGCATGGGGACAATACTTACTCTTTTAGATTTCTCACGAGCTTTTGACTCCATAAATTGTACTCTTCTTCTGTCTAAGTTATCTTTCATTGGATTTGATGCTTTCACAGTTCAATGGTTTCATAGTTACTTAATAGATAGATTGCAATATGTTAGTATAACAAAACATGATGGCACAATACTTATGTCTGAACCATACTTAGTTTCTCGTGGTGCCTCACAGAGATCTATCCTGGGTCCTATTTTATTTATTCTATATAGTTCAGACATCACTAGCTGTATCAAAAATTGTGAGTATCACTTATATGCGGATGACTTGCAAATATATAAATCTTTTTTCCCTCAATATTGTGAAACTGCTGTCAAATTATTGAATGAAGATCTTAAACGTATCTCGTTATGGTCCAAGCAAAATTCTCTTGTGCTAAATCCACAAAAATCAGAAAACTGACGTCCTCCTCAGTCAAATTTTTGAAAAAAATATTTCGCATCAATTGCTTTTTTATTTAATTCAATTAAATTACTCCATAAAAATCTAATTGGTTTTAAAAGGGATCGATGGACGATTGACGTAGGTTTTAGCTTATGATATATATATTTTCAATACTTGAGAAAATTCACAAGATGCTTTAGATATTTTTAGTGTTACTTCCAAAGCACAACAAGGCAAGGCACAACATTGCGGTGTCAAAAATATTGCGCTTAGAAATAATTAATAGAGCTCAAAAACTCTTTACCAATGGTAAAGGTTCTTACGGATCGGTATTATCAATAAGCGTCCCTCAGGGATCGATTCTTGGCCCATTGCTATTCATAATTTATATTAATGACTTACCTTATCTTGTAGGGTATTCTAACGTATGTTGAGACTGCCAGATTAGTTTATTTTAGTTTCTTTCATAGCATAATGTCTTATGTAATTTGGCTATGGGGTAATGCAACTGATATTGAAGCCATACTTCTTTTGCAAAAGAGAGCCGTACGGGCGATTTATAACATAAATTGTAAAGAGTCCGTTTGAGAAAACTTAAAGAAATAGACATGTTAACTTTGGCATCACAATATATTTATGAAAATGTAATGTTCATACTTTAAACACTAGATACAAACATAAGCTTGTACCAATACCAGTCACTAGATTCCACAGAATTCGTAATTCATTTATGGGACAATGTATATGCTTACACAACTTAATCCCATGAATTGTACAAAATTTCTCATTAAACAAGTTTAAATGTTTTATTAATGTAAAATTGTACAGAAAGGGTTACTATAATATCAAAGAACACATAAATGAAAATAATATCCGGGACTGAGTTAATCGCCATCATGCTGATTCTACAAAAATTATTATAAAAATTGTTAAAACAAAATAATTGTAAAGTGAATATGTTTAACAAAAGGTCCCATTGGATTTCTGCTGCGTCTTTCCAGCACATAGGTATTTTCCGAACCAGTTGTAAGTAAAAAAATAACTTAGTATATTATTACACAATTAACCATATTATTTATATATATATATATATATATATATATATATATATATATTATTGCAATTTTATTTTATTTCCTTTCATTCATTTCATTTTACAAGTACTTAAGCATTTAACTGCCTAATGTAATAAACTTTTAAAATTATATTGCAGTGATACAGGTAATTAATATTATTGATTTGTTGAACAAAGTGTAAGTTGGGTAATTTAAAAATAAATGCTTATTTAAATTTATTTGTTGCATGTGAATTATTTTAGAAACAAGACATTTATTATTTCAAGTGTATTTATTTTAAGTTTTGCTTTCAAAAAATAAAGTAAAGGAAACTATTTTAATTGCAATATTTATTTTTATACTGATTTACATCCGATTTTTGCAATACCAGTCATAATTTTATATGTATTGTTTAAGAACTCTACCTATTGTTATAAGTTATTAAAAATTATCAGTTATTTTATGAAAATTACAGCCTTAAATAGTAAAGCACCTATATAAAACTAATTTTACGGACTTATCAAGTTCAATTTAAACTTTTTAATAAAAATTAGTTTCATTTAATGTTTAGTGTTCGCGCAAATATAAGAAATCATTAAATATCACGTTTGATTTTTAACTTCCCGGTAATAAATATATATTTAATAGATTAAAATAGTTTTCAGTTTTCTTCTATAATTATTTTTGTATAAATAAAGTAAGAATAGTCAAATTATCTATGGTGTACAAGGTAAAACAATGTATATATAATAAATATGTGAAAAAAATTGTACCCAAGTGTAATGGCGTTAGTTTTTAGTTAGGCGATGTAAGCAATTGCATGTTTCATGTACGATTATTAACACTGTATATATGCGCCGTAAAATATGATAACAATATTACGTTTAAAACTGTTATTAATTCACACTTAAATGTTAAATCATAAGAATGCGTTAAAAGTTATCAACATTTGGTGAAAAATAAAATTATTAGCTTTTAATAAAGCAAAGCTACCAACTAAAATATCCTTATGTGGCTCTTCTATAAAGTTTTTTTGTGAACCTAATGTACTTAGGAGCCATCTATTGGAACTTTATAGATTGATAATGAAGAACGAAAATTCTAAAGCAATTTTAAATATCCGTGTACTAGTTGAAACTCGCGATCCTATAAGAATATCGGCTTTATAGGTAAAAAGGAAAATTAGCGAATGGTTTCAGTTGCGTGCTTTGTGGCAACGTCGATTTTGATGTTTCTATAACCCGCATTTTCCTTTGCCTTAAAAAACCACAAAAACAAAAAAAGA